CTGTTAGTACATTACTGGTATATAAAAATGCAACTGATTTCTGAATATTTATTTTGTATCCTGCTACTTTGCTGAATTCATTTCTTAGTTCTAGTAATTTCTTGGTGGAATCTTTGGGGTCCTCCATGCACAGTATCATGTCATCTGCAAATAAAGACAGTTTTACTTCTTCCTTTCCAATTTGGATGCCTTCTATTCCTTCTTCTTGTCTGATTGCAGTGGCTAGGACTTCCAGTACTGTGTTGAATAAGAGAGATGAAAGCAGACATCCCTGGCTTGTTTCCAGTCTGAGGGGAACAATTGTAATTTTTGACAGTTGAGTATGATACTGGCAGTGGATTTGTCATATATGGCCTTTATTATATTTGTGTATACTCCCTCTATTCCCACTTTGCTGAGTGTTTTGATCATAAATTGGTGCTGGATTTTAATCAAAAGCTCTCTCTGCATCTGTTGATATATAATTATGTGATTTTTATCCTTCATTTTGTTTATGTGGTGAGTCACCTTTATTGATTTGTAAATGTAATACCAGCCTTGCATTCCTGGAATAAATCCCAGTTGATCAAAGTGTATGATCTTTTTGAGACATTGCTGTATTCAGTTTGCTAGTATTTTGTTGAGGATTTTAGCACCTATGTTATCAGGAATATTGGCCCATAATTTTTTTCTTTGTAGTGTCTTTATCTGGTTTTGGAATTAGGATAATGCTGACCTCATAAAATGAATTTGGGAGACTTTCTTCCTCTTGAGTTTTATGAAATGTTTTGAGGAGAGGGGTTAGTTTTTTTTTTTGAATGTTTGGCAAAACTCACCTGTGAAGCCACCTGGTTTAGGGCATTTTTTTGTTAGGAATTTTTTGACTACTGCTTCAATTTCACTAGGTATAATCTGTCTATTCAGATCCTCTGATTTGTCCTGATTTCATTTTGGAAGATTTTATATTTCTAGGAATTTACCCATTTTATCCAGGTTCTCCAGTTTGTTGGCATATAGTTGTTCATAATATTGTCTTATAATCTTTTATATTTATTTGGTGTCAGTTGTTATTTCTATGCTTTCATTTCTGATTTTATTTATATGGATCCTTTCTCTTTTTCTCTTGATGAGTATGGTTAAAGGTTTGTCAATCTCGTTTACCTTTTCAAAGAACCGACTCTTGGATTCATTGATCTTTTATGTCTTTTTTTATACTCTATTTCATTTATTCTACTCTAATTCTGCTCTGATCTTTATCATTTCCTTCCTTCTACTCACTTTAGGCTTTGTTTGTTGTTCTTTTTCAAGTTCCTTTAAGTGTGAAGTTAGAATGTTTATTTGAGATTTTTCCTGTTTTTTGAGATAAGCCTGTAATGCTATGAATTTCCCTCTTAGGATTGCTTCCCCAGTGTCCCACAGATTTTTGGATTGTTGTGTTCTCATTTTCATTTGTTTCAAGGTATCATTTGATTTCTTCCTTGATCCCGTTGTTGACCCAGTCATTGCTTAATAACGTTATTTAGCTTCCATGTCTTTGCATGTATTCCAGTGTTCTTCTTCTGATTGATTTCTAGTTTCATAGGACTGTGGTCAGAGAACATGCTTCATATTATTTCAATCTTCTTAAATTTATTGATACTTGTTTTGTGTCCCAACATGTGGTCTATCCTAGAAACCATTCTTTGTACACTTGAAAAGTATGTATATTCTGCTGCTGTGGGGTGAAATGCTCTGAAGATATCAATTAAATCCATTTGATCTAGTGTGTCATTTAAGGCCACTGCCTCCTTGTTAATTTTCTGCCTGGAGGATCTATGCAATGAAGTCAATGAAGTATTGAAATCCCCTACTATGACTGTATTTCTGTCAGTCTCTCCTTTTATGTTCATCAAGATTTACTTTACATATTTAGGTGCTCCTATTTTGGGTGCTTAAATGTTTACTGGGGTTATAACTTCTTGTTCTATTATTCCCTTTATTATTATGCAGTGTCCTTCTGTGTCTCTTACTATAACCTTGGTTTTAAAGTCTATTTTGTTGGATATAAGTACTGTTACTCCAGTCTTTTTTTTTCCATTTGCATGAATTATCTTTTTCCAACCCTTTACTTTTAGTCTGTGTGTATCTTTTGATCTATGATGGGTCTCTTGAAGGCAGCATACATATGGGTCTTGTTTTCTTATCTATTTAGCTACCCTCTGTCTTTTGGATGGAGCCTTTAAGCCATTTATATTTAAGGTTATTATAGATACATATGTAGTGTCATTTTATTGTTACACTGTTTTCCTCTTTTTTTTCCTTTCTCTTTTTCTTCTTTTTCTCAAAGCAAGCCCTTTAACATTTGTTGCTGTACTGGTTTGATGTTAGCAAACATCATTAGCTTTTTCTTGTCTGGGTAGCTCTTATTTCTCCTTCAATGGTAAATGATAGCCTTGGTAGGTAAAGTAACCTTGATTGTAGGTCCTTGCTTTTCATCACCTTGAATATTTCACACTACTCCCTTCTGGCCTGAAATGTTTCTGTTGAGTAATCAGATGCCAGTCTAATAGGTAACTACCTGCTTTTCTTCTGCAGCTTTTAGTATTATCTCCTTATCTTTAAACCTCGTCATTTTAATTATGATGTGTCTTGTTGTAGGCCTCTTTGGGTCCAACTTGTTTGGGATTCTCTGAGCTTCCTGGACTTGTGTGACTTTTTCCTTCACCAGATTACAGAAGCTTTCGGTCATTATTTCTTCTCATAGGTTCTCCATCCCTTGGTCACTCTCTTCTCCTGGTATTCCCATGACATGGATGTTGTTACACTTCATGTTGTCCAAAATGTTTCTTAAGCTCTCCTTACTTCTTAAAATTATTTTTTTCTTTTTTCTCCTCTTCCTGGGTGTTTTTTTCTAACATGTCTTCCAAAACACTGATTTGATCCTCTGCTTCATCTAACATACTGTTTATTCCTTCCAATGTATTATTTATCTCAGATATTGCATTCTTTATTTTTGACTGAGCCTTTTTAAATGATTTTTTATGCTGTTGAGTATCCTTATAGTCATTGCTCTAAATTCTCTGTCTGATAAATTGCTTACCTTCATTTTATCTAGTACTTCTGGAGAATTCTCTTGTTCTTTCATTTGGGGTGTTTCTTTGTCTTCCCATTTTGGCTGCTTCTTTATTTTCTGCCTTGGATGCTAAACTAATCAGCCAGCAAACCCATCAGTTGTTCATCTAATCAAGCTGTGATCAGCAGCCTAGCTTAAGAACCATAAGATGGGGCAGAGTAATTCCTGTGGGTGAGACTATTGTTTCCCCTCAGGTTGATGCCACTCAGAGGGGAGTGGTCTGCCTGAGAGAGATGGCTTCTGCAGTATGGGGAATGACTCAGCTCAGTGATCCTGGTAGCTCTTCCTTCAGTTCTCTCTCCAGAGTCACCAGACCAAGCTTCTCCTCAAACATCTCTAGTCCACTCTGCTCTCCCTGTGCCGGAGCCCAGGGTAAGTGGCTGCAAACAAAATTTTGTGCATTGGCCCTTTAAGAATGTCTCTGAGTCTCTAGCCATCTCTCTGTGGCAGACAGAACCCCTGCTGCTTTTCACAGCTGGATGATATCTGGGTTCCTTTCTGGGTCTGGTGCTGTAGACTGGGGAGCCCAGCTTGGGGCTTAGCCCCCACACTTCTCAGGGGGAACCCCCTGGTGGTTGAAATATCTCTCTGTAATTTCAGCTACTCCCCATGGTAGTCCAGCCAGCCCTCCCATACCTCTTCTTGCACTCCTTACCAGTCACATTGTGCTGAAGTAGTTTCTTCTGTCCATCCTTGGTTATGAGGCTTCTCTTCAGCTAGTGTCTATTTAGTTATTCTGGATGATTTCTCTACAATTTAGTTATAATTCCACATTGGTCCTGGGAGGAGGTTAGTGTAGCTTCCACTTATTCCTCTGCCATCTTGGATTTCTTCTACAATTTTCTTCAGAATCTCTTCTGAGTATTTTGTAATTCAGAGGAGCTTGTTAATAAAATGGAATATAGAAAAGTAAATGGTTTCTGACTTCCTATATACAAAGATGAAATAAAGAGACAAAAAACCACATGAAAACTGAGAAATTATGAGTAGAATCCTATAATAGTTTTATGTTTTTGTTCAATGAAAATAATGAGATTCTAATCATAAAAACCCAAAGTAGGCAGTAGCTACAGAAGCATCTAAGGAGGATGTCCTACTGACAAGAGCTCAGATCACTTCTAAAGATAATTTAAAAAAAAACAGAACAATATAGAATTGCACAGGAAAGGTGGCATTCTGTTTTACATGTTTGTGTGGCATCTGATAATGACTACCTACATCTACACGTGAGTTTTTATGTACAAAAAGCTATTTTCCTTGTGTCCTCCTTCTATAACCATATGAGGAAGACAGGCATTTTATCATCATTTTACAGATGGGAAAGTTGAAGTTATGAAGAGATTAAGTGCGATGAGCTCTTTTTATAAATGGTAGACCCCATGTTTTCTTGCTCTGGCCATGAAAAGAACCCATTGGTATCTCTATCTATTGAGTGAGATTAAATGACTTCATATCATGCGAGAAAGTAAAGGTCTTCCCTGAATACTTTAGAATTTAGAAGTGCGAATTCAGAAAGAGGTACTTTGTTCCATGACTCTGATAATTTGTCTTAAAGTAGACCATTTAACTTTTTAAATGAAGTCAATTAATCATTTGTTATATAATGTGTGCTAAGCATTGACAGCCAAATAAGGATAGTGAAGAATACCAGCCTCAACTTAATTATGAAGAGAGTTAACTGCAGTGCCGTCAATGATAAAAATAATTACCTTCAGTGACTGTACAGAATGAAAAAGACTTTTATTCTCTTTAGGGCCATCCTTTACATTACCTGCCATGATGCCTCTTTACTCAAGTCAACATATGTTCACCACATTTTATTAGAGTCGATTGTTTTTATACAGAGTGACTTAATGTGACACTTTGTTTAATGTGATATTCTCTCCCTCTTCCTTTTATTCACAACCAGGTGAAACTGGGTGAAGATGCACCCAATTCCAGTGTGGTGCAAGTCTCTAATCCTGAAGGAAGTAACAACAGTGAAAACGGTGCCCAAGAGAAGACAACTGTTGGAGCCGAGTGCCACCTTCTTGACTTTGCCAGCCCTGAGCGCCCACTCGTGGTCAACTTTGGCTCAGCCACTTGACCTCCTTTTACTAACCAGCTGCCAGCCTTCAGCAAACTGGTAGAAGAGTTCTCATCTGTAGCTGACTTCCTGTTGGTCTATATTGATGAGGCTCATCCTTCAGATGGTTGGGCGGTGCCTGGGGATTCTTCTTTGTCTTTTGAGGTAAAGAAGCATCGGAACCAGGAAGACCGATGTGCCGCAGCTCACCAGCTTCTGGAGCGTTTCTCCTTGCCGCCCCAGTGCCGAGTTGTGGCTGACCGCATGGACAATAATGCCAATGTAGCTTATGGGGTAGCCTTCGAACGTGTGTGTATTGTGCAGAGACAGAAAATTGCTTACCTGGGAGGAAAGGGTCCCTTCTACTACAACCTTCAAGAAGTCCGGTGTTGGCTGGAAAAGAATTTCAACAAGAGATGAAATCTAGATTAGCTGGTTAAAGGTATGATTGTAGCAGATCTTTAAAAAAAAAAAATATATATATATATATATATATATGTGTGTGTGTGTGTAAAGGAAAAGAAACTTAGAACTGAATCCACTATTTCAACTGAATCTCATTGCCTCACTGAAAGACAGGAATTTACATGTGAGAAGGACATAAACCTCTGACATCTTAATACTTCTTTCACCACTCAAATGGCATTTGGCTAAATAGAAGTCCCATCACTTCTCTTAAAAAAAAGCAAAAAAACTTAAAAAAATTTCTGATTGAAAATATCCCAAGATAGAGAGGAAGAAACCTTGTTTGCTGCAGCTGATGCTTTGGGACCTAAAGAGAAGACTTACCTGACTGACTTCCATGTTAGGGAAGCTTCTGTTCTTGTCAGTATAAAGGATATTGCTTAAGCTTTATTCAGCATGGGTAGAGCTCAACTAGAAAATTCTTAAATGTTTACTGATAATGAGGCATTGAGCCCAGGCCATGTGGTTAGAACCTTGGCATTTAACGTTACTTTCTCATGTTCTAGTTTCTCATCATGTAGTGCTCAGAGCCAGTCTAAACATCCCAGAGCTCATGGGTGTATTTGTAGATATCAAGAATGATTCCTACCTGGAGGGTAAGATCGATCATCTGAAATCTGAGGGTTACTTTTGAGGCAGGTGAATAAAGCACTAAAAGAAAATCCAGTTAACTAGCTAGAAAAAAGGAGGCAGAAGGATTAGACGGCTTCTTAGAGGTTTGCCTTAGAATCTTGAGAGTGGGACTAATTTCCTACCCACAAAAACATACACAAGACCAGAAAAAGAAGAAGCTCAACTAAAAGTAGCATAGAGAATATACATAGGAAATCAATGTATTTATCATATACCTTAGATTGAAGGAGAAAGGAGGATGCCAGGGAAAGAAAACAAACTCTAATATTTGTATTTCTGAGGGGTTTTTTGAGAAATGATTATTTTTTGAAACCTGTTTGTGGTATGTATATTTTTAGTAGGTGAATTATATACCCCATGATACTGATTAAAGGTAAAACCAGTGGGTACAGTAATGCTGGTCTGTCCCTCTCCATCTCTACCATTGTGATGTAGCCCTGCTCACTCTTGATCTCAGTCTGTATAGAAGTATTTTCTTAATGCTAAGCTCGTCAGCTCAAGATATGTATATATATTCACTCTCAGATGTTGTGGGAGGTACGTGCCCTCCCCATTCAGCTGCAGCACTGTTTTCCCACCAAAGTAGGTGATCTATAATGAATGGTCAGTGTGAACAAACGGTTTCTTCAGTTGCAAAACAGAGGAAGAGAAAGTTAGTTTGAGATAATTCCCATCAGCACTTGTGGCAGAATTGATATAATACAATCTTCATAAGTATGGAATTTGGTAAAAGAATTCCCATTGACATTTGAATTTGGACTTGGCTCTTCCTTTGTTTCTATTAACTGAGGTCTGTAATCTAAGGCCTCTATAGTACATTAATATAAAGTTATTTTCATATATAAATACCATATTTCTCTTTGAAATGAAGACACAATAGCTTTGCCTATAAGTAACATAAGTAATATCTAAATATCATAACTTCCAAAAGATTTAGTATCATATTATGATACAAAACATGATAGATTTTGTATCATACAATTTTTATTATAAATTTAGGAATACGATCAAATCACAGTATATGATCATATTTATATGTATAATCAAAGGTTCTTATGACCATTCCATCAATAACTGAACTATAAAATTAAAAAAAAGAAAAATATATCTAAAGTTGAAAATATCTTTCTAAACTAGTTGCCTGAAGTGAAAAAGATGTGGGAACTAAGGGTGCAAAGCCACAAGTCTATTTTTTTTAACTGATGCAACATAGTAATCATATCACTCACTAGTCAGTGTATCATTTAGAAATTAAAGGACCATTTTAACTTTTTTTTCACAGCAACATTTAAATTTCTCAATATTTTAAATTCAACAAACACACCCACAAAGAAACAAAGCAGATTTTGAAAATGTGACGCTATCCAACAAATTTCTGGAAAAATCACTTTGAAAATAGACTATTTCAGAGGTAAATAAACTCTATAACTCAAGGCTTATCAGTGGGCCACACTGATTTTTGTCTTCAAAATGGTGTTGAGATTTATGTGGTACATAAAAGAACAAGTGGTGGCTGCACACCCGCACCGTTGTCCTTAAACTTCCCTTTTGTTCTACATGTACAACAGTGGCACAGGATGTTGGAGAAGCTGGTAGGGGGATGGGGTTTGGCGAAGGTAGTCAGTGCTAGTTGTCTGGGGAAAAGGATGATGAAAAATGACCCAGCTGTGATACATTTTTAAAGAAAGAGAAAGTTGTGTGTGTGCAATTCCTCTCCTTGAGGATAATCCAATGGAGAAGTGAAGCAGTGGAAGTAGACATACAAAGGCATCGGCTGAATATCAGGGAAAAAGATATGTTCCATAGAACATAGAAAAGTCACTGGAAGAAAGACTGTTGGGGGCCAATGAAGAAAGTAAATTGACAAAGCTCAGGAATTCTACAATATATAGAATGGCTCAGTTTTATCAAAATTATGATAAGCCTGTAATTATGTAATCTATTTATCTCAACATGAACTTTTATGATTTCCTGTGATGTATCTTTCATGAACTTAACAAAAACTCATTAGTTGAGATAGAGGGAAATTGATGCTTAGTTGATATATGCTCAGAGAAATTATTAGATTGTCAGTACCCTCCCCATCTATCCTGTCTTTTATAAAGTATGTTTCTTTGAAGAATTGTAGTTCTTATTCTCACAAGGCAAAAATTTTATATATGGATATTTATAATTTTATATATAAAACTTTGAGATGATCTTCTCAGTACCTAAGCATCTTTACCCTCTGTGTTTACATGGAGCTATCAGTTTAGCTTTTTAAACTGAATTAGCTTGTCTGTTATTGAAATAGTTTCCAAGCGATTTTAGATAATATCATAGCATCTAGGTTCTCTCAAACATGTAGTCTTTGAAAGACTTCTGTCTTGGAACTATTCAAAATTTACCTTATTTTATTTTATTTGAAAATATTAGTGAAACCAACAATGACTCTCTTAAACGGGCATGAATAAAATGCCTGCACAGTAATGTAGAAATATTTGATACAGACATTGAAGTATAACTGACCTCTTTAGAAGTAGATTGGGACCTCTGTTCTTGCTTTGTATAGCTAAAGTGACAGTCATTTAACTTATCTGACTTTTTATATTTATGTTTTGGATCTCCAGCCCTATGTCTTCACCTCATTTATAGAATGTACTCCTGATTTTTGGTAATATCAACTTCTAAATGGCGTATTGATGTAGTTAAATTCAGCCATTAACCAGGAAATGCCTATTCTATGATCAAGGAGAAAAGAAAAGACTGCTGCCTTTCATTTTGCCCAAGTGTACTGAACTAGTTGGGCTCTTGAACGAAAATTAGGAAATATGGTGAGGTCATGTGTGGGTACTGCCTGGCTGCATAAAACACTATTAGGGCAGGTGAAAGACAAAATCTAGGCCTTTGGGATAATTCCCAGCTGGATACAGGGTAGCCTCAGCATGTCTTATGGGCTATGTCCATAACAAGAGGAATGCACTGATGTACAGGACTTCCCATTCTGTAAATCCTAAAAGATAAATCTGGACATTTATTCCATCTGACCTCTGACTGATGGTTTGGAAAATAAGCCCAGTTAGAATCACGTGGCCATTGCAAAGGGAAAAATGTGGATACTCGCTTCTGCAGGATGCATGAAAACTTTACCTGCATTCAAAGCTTTTCAGAACATGCCCAGTGTCATATCTCTCAGCAGTGGAGATTAACAATGAGCATTTTAATTCTAGGAGCTTTTTAAAAAAAAAACTACAAAAAAAAAGATATTGCCAAAAATCAGATATAAAGTGTTTTTTGTTACATTCAAATCTCCTCCCTACTTCCTCCTTTATTTTAGAAATTGAAGCTAAACCCAGTCTTCATACTGAAGCCCAGAATGGGGCATAAGTACCAACCTCTGTTTGGTGATCAGCCCATTTTAGTGGTGTCCTGAGGTCCTCCAGGGAAGGAGGAGGCAGGACGTGGGAGAGTCAGGGAGTTGCTAACTGGGGAGACCCAGGCTCTTCTGACTTGGTCTGTTAATTGGGAAGATTCTCAAAGAAACTTCACACCCCTGGTGGAAGGCTGAGTGTCACTGAGTGACTTTAGGATGAGCCGGATATTGGTCCATTTCCTGATGCCTTACATTCTGGGTAACACCAGCAAAGCCTGAGAATTAAGAGACCCAGCTCTATTTCACAGTGCGTCTGAACCAACAGAAAACAAACACAGATATCCAAACAAGACTGGTCATGCAAGTTGGGGCTTGCTGCGTGTCTTGGGCAGCAGCGCCAGAGCCCCAGGGAGGTTATTTAATATTTACTGAGGAGACTTTGAAGACCCAGGATATGTTTACTGAAGTCATTATTTTGGCTCAAAACTCCCCTTACCTGCCCCTCTCCCCCAAATAAATAGGTAAACACACAAATGAAAGAAGCTTGCAGGAGAGGTTGGGAAATAAATAAAAGTCTCTGAAAACTTCTCCAAATCACGTCATTGGTGGGTGTGGTTTTTATCTGTGTTAGAACTGAAGGATATGAAAACATAAATGTCCAGTACTTTATAACCAAAGCAATGGAAGGATATTGGGAAGGGAATGTTGGCCAGTGTTGTTTAGTTTTGCATCACATTATCACCAGACTCCATCACTAGCCCAAGTAACCGAGCCCCTGAAGAGGGAGACTGGGATGGGCAGAGGTAACGGGTGTGCGAATGATAACTACTGACGAAAGAGTCATCGACTCAGTTAGTGGTTGGATGTAGTCACATTAGTTTGCCTCTGTCCATCTTTGTCTTCCTAGCAAGGAGAATATTCGGGGCATGATGCTAGGAGTACTGGGTAAATGTGGTGAGAATGCTTGTGTGTACCTCTGCTTCTTGGTTG